AATGTGGACAGTTAGCATTTACCGACATACACCTGTCTACTTTCTCTGGTATGGAACATTTTTTAAAATTAAAATAAATGGGTTTATAGAAGGTCAAAGGGTAGATATGAGATGTTTGGGTTAGTTAAGTGGGCATTTTGACAACAAGGTTTCCCCTTTGGTATGTTTAATTGTGATGTTTAATGGACTTCCTTGCAGTTTAAGATGAAATTCTCTCCTATGGCTTGGGTGCTGCCACTCAATGGGACAATAGCAGACCTGCAGAATCTTATTTGGAATCATCATTCCCTATTGTATTTTGTTCCTGTTTAATTAATTTTCTTTTGTTTGTTTCACTTGAAAGAAAAGATAATGCTCAATTTTAAACATTAAAAGTGTACCAGTTGCTTTCTTATAATGAAACTAAATGTGAAGTTTACCCCAGTAACAAAACAAAAAAAAAAAAAAAAAGAGGAATGAATACTTACATCTCAATATCCAAAGATCAGTTGCTCAAAAAAGTTTTAGAACTAATACTGGGGATAGAAGAGAAGTGAGGCACAATTAGCAAAAAGCATGAGAAGCAGCAGAATAAAAATTCTAGTAAAAATGGTGTCACTAATCATGTGAGATCCAAAAGCATTTGTGACACCTGCATTGGGCTAGAAATTGTAAAAAACACAAAAGTGGGAACATATTACAAAAGAACCTGGGTTTCTAGAACACCCAATTTACCCACCAGAGGCAATCTGAGAGAAATTCAACTTGATACAGGAAAACTGAATTGATGACAGAAACAGAGCCCAGAAGTTTAGATCACCTCCATTCTACGAAACAAAGTCTTCCCTCTTGGTATGAAAATCCAGTCCTCACACCATCTGGACATGAAATTACTTTTCCAACTTTACCTCTCAATGGGTTCTAACAAATGTTCTGAATTCCACCTGTCCTTTAATGCTTACTATCATCTTCCAACTTCTCCACTCTGCCATTGTGCAACTGGACCCTCTCTTTCTAGAATGTCTTCCACCTTCTCCTCTTTTCCTTTATTATTCCTTCCCCACTTTGCACTAGGAAAATCCATATCAGATACCTTTGTTGGTTGGCCAACTCAACCTTTACCTTACTTTTCCCAGCCATGGGAAGCCATATGATATCTGATTAAACAAAGGATTAACTTGATGGCACAATGCACGGTTGTTTTGTCTTAAGCTGATCATGACCCACAAATATATCAGGCCCTAATCCTTAGAACCTTTTACTTTTGGGGGGAAAAGGTGCTTTTGAAGATTTTGTGAAGGATCTTATAATGGAGAAATGATCCTGGATTATCCAGGTGGGCCATGAATGCCATCACCAATGTTATGATAAGGGAGAGCAGAGGGGGATTTGACACCCCCCCCCCACAGAAGAGAAAGTGATGTGAAGATGGAGACAGAGATTGGAATGATGTGGCCATAAGCCAAGGTATGTTGGCAGTCACCAGAAGGAATGGATTCTCCCCTCAAACTTCCAAAAAGTGCAGCCCTGCAAACACATTGATTTAACTCAGAGATACTGATCTGGGCCTTCTGGTGTCCAGAACTGTAAGAGAATAAATTTCTATTGTGCTTAGCCACCCAGTTTGCAGAACTGGTGACAGCAGTCAAAGGAGACTAGTATTATCCTTCATCCCCCACCTTCCCCTTTCTTCTTGCCTTAAAGATAAACATGAGGCCCAGAACAACAATCAAGAAAACAAAATCCATGATGATGAAAATGACAGAGAGAGAAAAGAGCAAGCCCTGGATTCTCCCAACATCACTACAGGCATCAGCCTAGGACCCCTTACCTACAGGTTACTGGTTGTACAAAAGAAATGTATGTCCCATCAGCTTAACCCACAGCAATCCTATATGGAACAGCTCTCCTTGACCCGCTAACCAGCTTCACCTCTCCTCTCTGCCCTCCGCTAGTCCCTTCCTCCTCATGTCACTCAAGCACACAGCCATGACTTGATACTTTCTACACAGTGTCTGCTTCACCTATGAGGCAGCGAGGTCCTTGAGGACAGTGACATTTATGTGTGTAGCCCCCGCATCTAGGCCAGTGCAGTCACAGGCCAAGCAATCAGCAAACGCCCGTAAACAAATGGATTAGGTCTTGCAAAGGACATTAGGCCTGGAAGGGGTCCCATATGGCAGCCATCCTGCTTATTACAGTGTCTTTAGAACAGACCCAACTGCACATTCTTAATGAGCAAGAATGTCATTTGCTTCAGTGCCTTGGGATCTTCCTTGTAAGTAGGGAAAGGACCATACATACCAAACACTTCATCCAGTTCATTGTCTAATTTTTTCTGGACTTCTGGATAGCAACCCAGTAGGTACAAGGCCCAGTTCATTCCAGCTGCAGTTGTATCATGGCCCTACAAATGTAAGAAAAAAAAACAACTTAGAAAGCAGAGTTCTATTGAGAAGGTTAGGGATGCTAACTCTATTTTGAATTGTCTCTGGATTTGACAGCGGTGATGTGACCCCAGACAGAACAAGTTAATTTTATACAGTATTTTACCTCGGTGGGGAACAAACCAATGGAACAATCCCTTCAAAGGGAATGCCTCTGGGTACAGGGACATTCAATACGACAGAGTCACATACTTGGTGAGAGCGGCTGGGCTAACAGGAGGCATTCCGAGGGAACTCCGTGCGCTGGACTGTTTTTGAGGGAATAAAAGTGTGACTTTCCTGAGCCAAGTGGCCAGATCTGCACTTGTCCACTTTCTCCCATTTGTATGGTCGACTTTACCTGGACACCAGGCAGCACATGGGTGGTTCTGAGCAACAGTCTCCACATCAAGAAGTTGATAAATACCCCATTTAAACCTTTCTGAGTTTGAGGGAAAATACCAAACATTTGCAGAAATGAACTCAATTATTCTTCCCAAAAAATCCATGGGAGCCTGGCCAGCGTGGCTCAGTGCTTGAGCATCAACCTATGAACCAGGAGGTCATGGTTCAATTCCTGGTCATGACACATGCTGGGGTTGTGGGCTCAATCTCCAGTAGGGGGCATACAGGAGGCAGCCAATCAATGATTCTCTCTCATCATTGATGTTTCTGTCTCTCCCTCTCCCTTCAATGAAAATATATTTCTCTGAAATCAATAAAAATACAAGTTTTTAAAAAATCTCCATGGGATACTTGATACTGCTATTCACGTTTTAGAGATGACAAACTGAGCCCCCAAAAGATGCTAAGTAGCTTTCCCAGGTCCCGACAGCTTCATAGGAGGTGGAGGCAAGAGTAGGACCCTCGGAATTTCTGATGACAAAGCAGAGTCCACACTCTTCACCTCGGGGAGCGTGGAGGATCCGGGTGAGGAGAGTCCAGCTCCAATACTGATGGTGACACCCTGGATGACCTTATTCTCTGTCCTTTCAGTGTCTTTAGGCATCAGCCCCTTATTTCCTGTCCTCATCTCACCAGGACACTCCACACGCAAAATGGTAAGTTCTTCAGAAAAAAAAATGTATTTGAAAAATAAAAAATAATATTATAACTCTTACTGGTCCATTTACCCTATGCAACACAAGTTGTGACCATTGTAATATTTCATCTCCTGGGCAGAAGTCTCTGAAGCACTTGTTTTAGCTCTTAAGTGGAATTGTGGAGGACTTTTCTGCAATTTTAAAAAATAAGTTTATAAGTCTCTGATATTAGCATGATTGTATTTTCTCACACTTGCAATTTCTTTATAGAAATGACTCTGAATTCTAGACAAAAGCTGGCCCATGTCACTCAGTTGTTTAGCAAAGTCATAGAGGAAGTGCTCTTGCTAAACAATTTTAATAGCTTCTCTTGAATTTGAAAATGAACTTCCTGTTTTATTTATTTTTTTGCGATCTAAAGGGAGCAAAGATAAAGCACCGAGCCAACAAGTGCATTGGCAGAACTGCGCAGGGCAAGAATCAGCCAGACCAGGAGCGTAAAAGGCCTGGCACAGACATAGAAGCATGGAACAGATTGTCTGTTCCATATCAGAGGGAAGGAGGGGGTGGGTGTGTGAGTGGGTGGGAAGAGATCAACCGTGGTCACCCCAATCCAGTGCATGGGCACCCCTGAGTCCCCTGCCCTGGCAGACGGCTCTTCGGACATATGTAATACTTGTAACAATAAAGATTTAAAAAATAAATAAAATGAAATTTAAAAGTAAAAAAAATAAAATAAAATAAAAGGATGCAGCAACAGCCTGCATCCTCTTATGGAGGAGGTCACAATATTGTAGTTATACATGCTATACCTACTGATTCATGGGAAGAAGGGAAAAATTAGAACTTCAAAGAATGTTAGAGCTGCAAGAAAGAGATCATTACTCTGGTTGTTTTTGTGGAAGTGAGAGGTTACTAGTGGGAGATGGATGTGTATGTGCAGGTGTGAGTATGTGTGTATGTGCAGGTGTGAGTATGTGTATGCATGTGCAAGGGCCACTTCAACATCAGACACCAGCCAATATCTGTTGCACAAGAATGTGCCAGGCACGAAGGTTGGTGCACATTAGAAAACTATGCACCTAGTCCTCAGAGCTGTTCTGTGAGGCCCGTGCTGTAACAGCGAGGACACAGAAGTCTCAAAAGGGAGAGGAGGTGTCCGAGGTCACACTTCTAGTATAAGTCAGAGCTGGGATTTGGCTCCACAGCCCACTTTTTAGTGAATTGGATGTCCATTTTCTGCATAATTTATTTTCTATAAAGTGATCTGCTTAAAATAGCAGTTTAAAACCACGGATAGAGTCCATCTTTCCACTTTCCACACAGGGGACTGTGGCAGAGATCTGCAATGACTGGGCCTGTCTCATATGGCCAGTCAGCACAGACCTAGGAGAAGTCAGGTCTGCGGACCCTTCACACTGCTTGCTTTCTGCTACAGGGAGCAGAGCCACCTCCTGGGGAGGCAGTGCACCCAGGCGGCTGCAGGCAGAGCAAACATAATGCATGCAGTCCGCCATCGAAAACTGAAGGATATCCGTCTCTTCCATTTCCAGGATATTCTACATGCTGCCTTTTAAAACCATTTATTAATCTTTATTTGGTAAGCCATATGTTAAGAGGTTTTCTCTTTATAATACTTAATGTAGTTAAAATTATCTTTGCAAAAAATTCATCTTTTTTCCCAGACAGTGTTGTTCAGTGGTTGAGTGTTGACCTATGAACCAGGAGGTCATGGTTCAATTCCTGGCCAGGGCACATGCAGGAGGCAGCCAATCAATGATTCTCTCTCATCATTGATGTTTCTATCTCTATCTCCCTATCCCTTTCTCTCTCTTCCAAAAAAAAAAAATCAATAAAACTAAATATTTCTAAAAATTTGTCTTTTTTAATGTAAAGACCAGAAATCTCTTTAGAAGTACAAACTGGTTAAGTGCTCTACTAGAAGGAGCTGGGAAGATGGTGGCTGGCAGGACGGAGGTGAGGGAGAGGGTGTGATTGAGTGAGGAAGTGACAGGGGAGTGTGTGATGTGTGTAGCGTGTGTGTGAATGAGTGAGGGACAGTTAAATCCAGCAGGAGTACCAGAGGCTGGCAGACCAGGCTCTCCTGGACAGGGAGCCCCTACCACCGCTGCGGGCACTCCCCCGGCTGTGGGGCTCGGGCAGGGCGCCCATGCCATCTTGATGGGGAGAGTGAACTCCTCTAGGAACTCATCAGCACCACCACCCAGACTGGCCTTGGACACCGCCCGCGACGATGCAGCCACACCAGACGAAGGCCTGCTGCCTCTTCCGCAGACCTGCAGACCCTAGGACATCTACCTTCAAGGGCGCACAGATCCCGCAGCAGTAAGTGGAACTTCCCCCTCACTGGCTGCCGACCTACGGACACCATGGTCACATCAATCCAGTGCATGGACACCCTGAGTCCCTGCCCTGGCCGAGGGCTCTCTGGTGCCTCTATAAGCCACTGCTGGGTGCGCACGTATCCAAACAAAGCTGCACGGCCCCAGCAATAGAAACTTGAACTTCCCACTTCCCCGCTGCCTGCCCACAGACACAGTGGTCACGTGGTTTCAGCACACAGGTCCCCTGAGTCAGCTGCCCCAGCAGGCGGCTCCCAGGTGCTTCTGTGAGCTGCTGCTGGGCACACTTGTATCCAATCAAGGTCTGAAGACCCTGGCTGCAGAAACTCAGTCTTCCCCATTCTCGACTGCTGACCTCTGGTCACTGCAGTTGCAATGAACCAGCACACAGGCCCTCTGACCCTGCTGCCCCTGGAAGGTGGCTCCCAGGTGCCTCTCTGAGCCACCACAAGGCATGACCCTGGCTACCAGCATCCAGTCCCCATGGTAGTGCTGCTCCAGCACACAGGCCCTGTGAGCCCACTGCTCCAGCAGACAGCTCCTGGGTACCTCTGTAAGCCGCCGCTGGGTACACGTATCTAACCAAGAATGCACAGCTCCTGAAGCAGAAACTGGGACTTCTCCCTTCCCCGGGGTGACAGCACACCACAATCCTGCAGCTCCAGCATGTGGGTCCCACAAGCACACAGCCCCAGCAGATGGCTCCTGGGCCCCTAGTGAGTGGCCATTGGGCGTGTGCCTCTCCAACCAAGGGCACACAGCTCCCTCAACAGGATCTATGACATCCCCTTCTGGCTGCCTACCTCTGGACACCTTTGGTGAGTTTTGAGGACCCGCCTCCCCAGACAAGGTCACACTGTTTCAGTCACAGGCTCCGAGATTCCTACAACCCCAGCTGCTGGCTCCTGAACCCCCTCGTCATTCAGAAAGGGAAATCACTTTGGCCAGAGTCCCACTGCCTCAACCGCAGACTATGGGACAGCCGTCCCCCACTGTCCTGGGCTCCGGGAACCTCACAGTGAGTTACAGAGTGATGCTACCCCAGCAAGAGTCACACAACACCATCCAAAGTCACAGTGCCGGAGCCTCAGGCCCCAAGAACCCTTTGTCCCAAGCAGGTGGACTCCTGGAATTCACAGTGAGCACATACCAGTGATAGCTCAGCTAACCCTTTCCACAAGAGCTGGAACCACGATCACATTCACAACAGCTTGCACAATGAAGCTGGGGGTGAGTCACATTTCCAATCTGTGACAAGACTTCATCCACGATTAAGAAACTAATATTCAAGACCCAACTACATCAATAGAACCCAAATAGCTCAAGTAGGGGGCTCTGCTAGATCACTAAATTCAGGAGATTTGGGATACTGCACCAGTGGGTCCCCCAAATCACCAACTACATAGCACCACATCCAAAAGAACCTGTGTAGTAAATCAGTTGGATCTAAGACATAGAAACAATTAAAACATTACAGCAAAAAATGGGGAGACATAAAAACAATCCCCAAAGAAAAGAAAAAAAGGAATCACCACAAAAAGAATTAAATGAGATGGAGGCAAGTAACTTATCAGAGAAAGAATTCAGAGTATTGGTTGTAAGGATGCTCAAATGTCTGGATTACAAATACACACAACTCAATGAGAATTATAAGAAGCTGAATAAAAATGTCACCAACATGAAAAGGAATCAAGAGGAAATGAAGAATGACCTAGCTGAAATAAAGAACATAATGGAAGGCTTCAATAGCAGATTATAAGAGGCTGAGGACCACATCAGAGAATTAGAAGACAAGGTAGGAAAAAACACACAAATGCAGCAACTGGAAAAAAAAAACTTAAAAAGCAGGAGGAGAGCCTAAGGGAGCTTTGGGACAACACAAAGGGAAATAACACCCGCATAATAGGAGTGCCAGAAGGAGAGGAAGTGGAGCAAGGAATAGAGAACCTGTTTGAAGAAATAATGACAGAAAACTTCCCTGATGTTGGGAAGAAAAAAAACCATACAAGTCGACAGTTTTTTCAGAAGAAGAAAGTTTATCTGGTATTTAATTAGGGTCTTAAACTTTGTAATTCCTAACTACAATATAATGACTCTTCATCAGTTATAACAAGCTACTTCAAAATGTGATCAGGCTTTTCAAAAATGCTAAAAATGTTTTTAAATAATTCCTATAAATTGTTTATTTTTTTAAGTTAAAAATAAATTAAGAAGAGATCATCCCTTATACCAAGGATCCCAACATATATCAAAAAGTGGTTATAAATAATTCTTCCTATTTCATGTTATTTCTAATTTTACTATCAAATGCTTAAACATGTCTAACTATTAGTGCTGGCTATTTCTTCATCCTTAGCATTTTTAACTCCCAAGATTAAAAAAAACGAAAATAAAACAAAAAAACATTTTCTTGTTATGTACCAGGAACTATAATTTGTTTAATGATGATACCTGAGACTAACATGACAACACAAAATACCTCAAACATGAAAGTGTCCACTTCTTCTCGAATAGCCTCAAGGCTGAGCTTGTTCCCTTCATCATCCATCACATTTAAAAGCAGGTCGAGAAAAGCCTTGCGTTTTCTGTTGGAGAGAGTCGTGCCCTTGTCATCACTTTTACGTTCTTCATCTCTCTTTATTTCATTGGCCCCCCGTTCATTGACCTGTATGATTTAAATGATCACATGCTTTTGTGTGGAATTTGATATGGCCTAATAATCATTGTCCTGTGAAAATATACTAGCTTCTTTAACTGGTTTTTTTCTAAGCCTTTCGTGTTCTGTCTCACTCAACAGGAACTTAGGTTTTTGTGAAAACATAGTAAAGCTTTCTGTGAACATGTTTAGGGCGTTATTTGATAAGATTTTTAAAAACAAATTTAATGTCAGACAAATAGATTGTTTTGAAGGACTATTTTTACAGCCTTTCCAACATGGGAATAGAGTGGTAGTCTCCTGAATAGGGCCCCAGCAAGTTGAAAGAGCTCATGAAAAAAAGTTGGGGTGGTGGAGAGAACACAATCATTATATAATAGACTAATTATAGGTAATTCTAATTATGTGTTGTATTGGAGAAAAGAATCACGCTGTATGCTTGCCGCTCCTTCTGCCTAGAATGCTCTTACCTCAGAAGCCAGCATGACTAGCTTCCTCCCTAGTTTTAGATCTCTGCTGCCCATTGCCACACTGTCAGGGTCACTGCTACCCTAGTCCCTAGCACTCACTTTCTTCCTAAGCCTACTTTACCTTTTTTCCATTTCACTTAACACCTGGCATTGTATTGTTATTTAGTAACTTTGTCCTCCATCTTCAATGTACCAGCAAATTTGTCTTTTATTCATTGATATACTTCCAACCTTTAGAACACTGCGTGGCATTTTAGAAATGTTCGTCAGGTATGTGTTGAATGAATTAAAGAATGAAAGCCCCTGAACTTACTTTGGTTACACATTTCAACTTTCTCCTCCTTTCAGGCAATTGTCCAAACAAGCTTCTGCTTTGAATGAGCAGACCCCAAGTTCTGTAAGGACAAGCACCATGTCCTCTCTTTGATTCTTGGTGGAACCCCTAGTGCCTGGCACTCAGTATGCAATTTTTGATATTATCATCCAGTTTGGAATTCATTCATTATTGATACTGATAATATTAATGCAAATTTTAAGACAAGTGTAATTATCCCCATAAAATACAAACTGCTCACCATTCACCTATTGCCAGGCAATTATGCTATACTCCACTGAGGGCAGCTCACTCCAACATCTCATTCATCTAGCATCTAGGGATTCTAACCACTTGATCTGTTGGTGGTGGCAGTACCTCATTGTCAGGAAGTAATGCCATCATATTTTAAACTAAAATTTATAGTAAAGGATAAATATAATTACTTCAGCACTTTTATCTGTACATTTAAATTATAATGCATGTTTTCAATTAAAGTTTGCCTTTTCTAAACATACTTTTAACACAAAGACTATATCCAGAACATTACTATTTCTTTCTTGTCATTAAAAATTAAATAGTAATATCTAGTTAATGTTTATCTTTTCCAGTTTAAGATACTGCTATAAATGCCCTTTGTTTTGGAAAACAATTGCCTAATCCAAAGATTTTTTAGAAGATTCTTATAACACAGATCCCTGTGTCTTTATTCTCTTAGCATAGCACCCAGTTTGTTAATACACTATCATAGCTCATATCACATTTTGTAATTTTTTATTCATAGACAACCTCCCCCGGTAGACTAACCTCCCTCAGTAAGGAACATTAATGACTGGGTATGTTAACAAACATAGGAGTCATGCACTTATAAAAGTTCTAGAAAGTGATAGTGGTAGGGGTTGCACAACATTTTTAGTGCCCCTAATGCCACTGAATGGTACACTTAAAATGTCCATTATGACAAATTTTATGTTATGTATGTTTGATCACAATAAAAAAAAAGTGAGGACTTACATTGGTGGTAAAATTATGTAAGATCTTTAGGTTCCTTTTGTGGTCCCTTCCTTCTTTAAACAAAAGGTACAAAACGTCATGCCAGAGCCAAAATGTCCTCATTCTTCGATGTAGCAAATCACTCATCCTATAAACAGGTTGCAAATGTATCAGCTGATATATCAAAAATGTGCATTGCTTGAGTACCTATTTGGTGCCTGGTCTCAATGAGGGTAATATGTGGCAACGATGGTAATTCATCTTAGCAGCTACCAAGAGCTCTATGGTTTATGCTCAACAATGAAGGCATGGGTTAGTACACATCTTAAAAAGCTTAAAAATTAAATGGGTACTATAGAAGAATGAAGAATCCATTACAAAACACCTTACTAGATGGCCATCTGACCTCTTCTTCTATTCCTCCAGGAAGAGTTCCGGACCTCCCCGAGATGCCTGTAGCTCTTATACCACAGGGTGGGGTGAAATCTGCCTGTTTAATGTCCATGCATTTGCTTATTACTCCTCTGGCTATCCTCTACTCCAGTAAAGTGCCTCGCGGTCACATCCGTGTCCTGAGTCCCTCCCTCAACATTTCCGGTGATGGAGCAGAGAGACCTAGACATGATCTCCTCCTTAGAGAGCAGCTTACAGGCCAATTCTGCAGAGCGGCCTTTCCTGGTCACTCAATCTATGGGCCCTATTGCTGTTTTCTTCTCAAATAGCAACTTTATTTTTTCTTTCTAAGCAATTATTATAGTTTATAAGTTTATACTTATTTGTTTTGATACTTGTCTCCCTGTTATTCTGTTCTGTGGACCACTATAAAACTAGTCAGTATCTTGTGTAAAAATAGCAGATTATATATGCTAATATGTGTTAAAATGAAATGGGCAGTGGGCTTAAAGACAGAATTCCTCAAATCAAACCCTGGTCCTGCCTTTTCATAGTTGAATAATCTCAAGCAATTTTTCAAATAAATATGACTATTTCAATTAAAAAATAATACACACTCGATGCAGAAAATATGGGAAGAGAGAATTAATAACAACACAAACAAGAAAGCGAAGCACATAACACAAAACAATAATCACAGCTAACATTCTGGAATAATATCTACAAGTTTTTTAATGAGTAATTTTTTATACCTAGTGGTTATCATGCTAAAAATAATGTTTTTATCTTTATTTTATCACTAAGCATCATAATGTAATTTTACAATATATAATAAAATAATCATGTAAAATTATACCATAGCCTGGGTGTACCATAATTTATACAATAAATCCTCTACTGTTAAAATACATGCTTAAATGATTGTTGATTTTTAGTGCATATTTCATTGTGAAACAATGAAAAAGATACAACACAGACAAAAAATTATTAGCAATATTTTTAAAGCTTGAATCAATAACAATTTTAAAAATAATTAGAAGGGCTCCGTTTACCTATAAACTGCACGAACATACTCAGAATCATCATTAGTCTGAGCATCAATACTCTTGCCCATAGCTGTTTCTGCAAAATATGGGTGAGAAGCAACCATTCAATTCTTGCACATGCCTTGTGTTTATTTTCCAGTGGCAAACACTTGAAAAAAGACATAAATTCTTATATATTTTAGAATTGTTCCTTTCCCCTTTCACTCTTGCACCTTTTGTTTCTCCTACTCCCTATTCATGCTCCTTCTTCCCTCTGACCTTCCTGGCAGGTTGGCTCTGCTTGAAGCCCTAGCAGTGGGTACTGCTTCTCAGGAGCCTAATTTAGCAGAAGGACGACCCCAAAGAAGCCAATATCCTTTCTAACCCCTTCATTTGCCTTCCCAGTGAAATGTTATTTTCTATTTAGGCCATTGTATGTTTACACCATAGCTCTAGAAACAAATCAATGAGACTTACCACAGATTATATCTAAGGCACAAAGAGTGATGTAAAAAAAGCAGTTAAATTTTTCCCCGTCAACATGTTTTTCAAGCTTATTAACCAAAATGTTGGCTTGTTCATTCATGACATCTAAGAATTCTTTCAGAATGGTAAATTGGAAAGTGGGTGTTAACATTTTTCTCCTGGAGCGCCATTTGTTTCCAGTACTAGAAATACAAGACATGGTTACAAAGAAGAGAAAAGCAACATCCAAAGCAAGTAAAGCATAGTCAAGACAACAAATTCTCCTTAATCTACAGATTCCCAAATGCTTTGGTCAAAATGTCAAGGGGAGATTCATATACAGTTACAGGATGGGCATATTTTAGATAT